CCGACATTCCCGACATTCCCCATCCCGGGACTCGGTGGGATTCCCGGGTTCCCAATTCCACAATCCCGACATTCCCCATCCCAGGGCTTGGTGGGATTCCCGGGTTCCCAATCCCGTATTCCTGACATTCCCCATCCCGGGATTCCCTGCTCCACAATCCCGACATTCCCGACATTCCCCATCCCAGGGCTCGGTGGGACTCCCTGCTCCATAATCCCGTATTCCTGACATTCCCCATCCCGGGATTCCCTGCTCCACAATCCCGACATTCCCGACATTCCCCATCCCAGGGCTCGGTGGGACTCCCTGCTCCATAATCCCGTATTCCTGACATTCCCCATCCCAGGACTCCCTGCTCCACAATCCCATCCCAGGGCTCGGTGGGACTCCCTGGTTCCCAATTCCACATCCCCGACATTCCCCATCGGTGGGACTCCCTTGTTCCCAATTCCACATCCCCGACATTCCCAATGTTACCCTCGGAGTCCGGGCACAACGAGCCCCGCGGGGACCCCGGGCGCGATCCCGGTGTTCCCGATCCCGGCATTCCCGTCATTCCCGGCATTCCCGACGTTCCAGGAGTCGGGGGATGACGAGTACCGCGGCGAGCACTCGGACAGCGATGACGAGGTGGACTCGGACTTCGACATCGACGAGGGCGACGAGCCGGGCTCGGAGCAGGACGAGGCCGAGCCCCGGCGGCGCCGCCGCGTGCTCACCAAGGCCTACCGGGTACCCAGCCCCTCCCGGGGGGAAAAACCCCCAAACAAACCCCAACCCCCGGGGCTCCCGGGCCGCTAGCCGCCGCCGCTGTCCCTCCCGGGCCGCTAGCCGCCGCTGTCCCTCCTGCAGGAGCCGCTCAAGAGCCTGCGGGCCAAGAAGGCGGAGGGGCCGCGGGGCGGAGCCCAGAAAGGGCGGGAGGTGAAATGCCTGCCCCTGGAGCTGCAGGAGGACGGGGGAGACAGTGAGTGGGGGGGAATGGGGATGGGGTGGGGATGGGGATGGGGATGGGAATGGGAATGGGGGGGGATGGGAATGGGAATGGGAATGGGAACGGGAATGGGAACGGGGGGAATGGGAATGGTGTGGGGATGGGAATGGGAATGGGAATGGGGTGGAATGGGAATGGGGATGGGAATGGGGTGGGATGGGAATGGGGGGGAATGGGAATGGGAATGGGAATGGGAATGGGAATGGGGTGGGATGGGGTGGGATGGCTGGGGATGGGGCTGAAGGGGGTGGCAGCAGGGTCTCGGTGATCCCAGCTGGGGATGGGATGGGTGGGGATGGGAATGGGAATGGGGGGGAATGGGAATGGGGGGGAATGGGAATGGGAATGGGAATGGGAATGGGAATGGGGTGGGATGGGGTGGGATGGCTGGGGATGGGGCTGAAGGGGGTGGCAGCAGGGTCTCGGTGATCCCAGCTGGAAATGGGATCCTCTGAGGGAGCTCCTGGTGCTCCAGGCGTTGGGAACAGGATCTGAGAGATCTCCTGGTGATTCCAGCTGGGAGTGGGATCCCAGGGGAGAGCTGCTGGTTCTCCAGGGGCTGGGGTCGGGGTCCCGGGGGTCCCCTGGGAGCATTCCCAGGTTCCAGCCGCTTGGTCTCTCCGCAGGCCGGAAGCACATGCGCCAGTCCACCACGGAGCACACCCGGCAGACGTTCCTGCGGCTCCAGGAGCGCCAGGTGCAGTCCAAGAGGAAGAAGGGAGGGACCAGCTACGAGCGGCCCCTGACCCAGGAGGAGCTGCTGGAGGAGGCCAAGATCACCGAGGAGATCAACCTGCGCTCCCTGGGTGAGGGAACGGGGCACTGGGAATGGGAATGGCATACTGGGAATGGGAATGGGATACTGGGCATGGGAATGGGATACTGGGAATGGGAACGGGGCTGGGACAGGGCCAGGATCACCGAGGAGATCACCCTGCGCTCCCTGGGTGAGGGAACGGGGCACTGGGAATGGGAATGGGATACTGGGAATGGGAACGGGGCTGGGACAGGGCCAGGATCACCGAGGAGATCAACCTGCGCTCCCTGGGTGAGGGAACGGGGCACTGGGAATGGGAATGGGATACTGGGAATGGGAATGGGATACTGGGAATGGGAATGAGATAATGGGAATGGGATACTGGGAATGGGAATGGGATACTGGGAATGGGAATGGGATAATGGGAATGGGATACTGGGAATGGGAATGGGATACTGGGAATGGGAATGGGATACTGGGAATGGGAATGGGATAATGGGAATGGGATACTGGGAATGGGAATGGGATACTGGGAATGGGAATGGGATACTGGGAATGGGAATGGGATACTGGGAATGGGAATGGGATACTGGGAATGGGAATGGGATACTGGGAATGGGCTCCCTGGGTGAGGGAACGGGGCACTGGGAATGGGAATGGGATACTGGGAATGGGATACTGGGAATGGGAATGAGATAATGGGAATGGGATACTGGGAATGGGAATGAGATAATGGGAATGGGGATACTGAGAACAGGAAGGGGATACTGGGATCAGGAATGGGGCTGGGCTGCTGGGACAGGGACAGCAGGAGTGGCACAGGGACACTGGGAATGGCACAGGGATCCCAGGATCAGAGCTGGCAGTCGCCGTGCTGGGCTGAGCCATTCCTGCCCCCATTCCCGCCCCCATTCCCATCCCCATTCCCGCCCCCAGAGAACTACGAGCGGCTGGAGGCGGACAAGAAGAAGCAGGTGCAGAAGAAGAGGAAGATCGTGGGCCCCGTGATCCGGTACTGGTCCCTGACCATGCCCCTCCTGCCCGAGCCCGGCCGCGATGACCCCGTGGACGTGGAGGGGTGAGTGCCAGCGGATTCCCAAATCCCAGAATTCCGGTTTTGGGGGGTGGGTTTGGGCACTGAATCCCAACCCTGGCGGCGTCACCTTGGAACCCCCAAATCCCACAGGAAAAGCAGGTTTTGATCCCCTTAATCCCGTGGAATAAGCATGTTTTGAGCTCCCTAATCCCACGGGAAAAGCAGATTTTGAGCTCCGCCTTGGCGATCCCAAATCCCATATTGGAGAAGCAGTTTTTTGAGGCCCCAAATCCCTTTGGAATCGCAGCTTTTCGGCACCACCACAAACCCCAAATTCCCCATTGGAGTCACAGCTTTTGGGATCCCAAATCCCCTACTGGAGTCACAGCTTTTGGGATCCCAAATCCCCTACTGGAGTCACAGCTTTTGGGATCCCAAATCCCCTACTGGAGTCACAGCTTTTGGGATCCCAAATCCCCTACTGGAGTCACAGCTTTTGGGATCCCAAATCCCAATGGAGTCACATCTTTTGGGATCCCAAATCCCTTTGGAATCGCGTTGGGATCTGGGATTTGGGGTGTGGGAGCGTCCTTTCCGAAAGAGAAATCGTCATCGAGCAGAGCGTCCCCAGCGCCTGGGAGCTGGGATTTGGGATTTGGGGTGTGGGAATGTCCTTTCCAAAAACAGTGGAAAATCGTCATCGAGCAGAGCGTTCTCAGAGCCTGGGATTTGGGATCTGGGATCTGGGGTGTTGGGGTACGGAGTGTTGAGGTATTGGAATGTCCTTCCCAAAAGAGCGGAAAATCGTCATCAAGCAGAGCGTCCCCAGCGCCTGAGACATGGGAGCTGGGAGCTGGGATTTGGGGTGTGGGAGCGTCCTTTCCGAAAGAGAAATCGTCATCGAGCAGAGCGTCCCCAGCGCCTGGGACATGGGATCTGGGAGCTGGGATTTGGGGTGTTGGGGTACGGAGTGTTGGGGTATTGGAATGTCCTTCCCAAAAGAGCAGAAAATCGTCATCAAGCAGAGCGTCCCCAGCGCCTGCACAGCTTTTGGGATCCCATATCCCAGTGGAGTCACAGCTTTTGGTTACCCAAATCCCAGTGGAGTCACAGCTTTTGGGATCCCAAATCCCAGTGGAGTCACAGCTTTTGGGATCCGAAATCCCATGGGAGCCGCAGTTCTCTGGCACCACCACCAACCCCAAACCCCCCGTCGCGGCCGCACCCTTTGAGCCCCCAGACCCTTTGCAGTCCCACCTTTTGCCCGCCCCACGCCCCGGGGGGGGCACGCCGGCCCCGTTCCCACCCCGCCGCGTCCCGTTGCAGGCTGGGCCCCGAGGCGCGGCCGCCGTCGCCGGGGAAGTGCTCGCGCACCTTCATCTCCTTCAGCGACGACGCCACCTTCGAGCGCTGCTTCCCGCGGGCCAAGGCGCCGCGGCTGCCGGTGCGGGAGCTGTGCCCCGTCACGCACAAACCGGCGCTCTACCGCGACCCCATCACCGACATCCCCTACTCCAACGCCCGCGCCTTCCGCATCATCCGCGAGGCCTACCGCAAGTACGTCACGGCCCACGGGCTGCCCAGCGCCGCCGCCGCCGCCGCCGGGGCCGGGGACAGCCCCCCCAAAACAGTGGAAAATCGTCATTGAGCAGAGCGTTCTCAGAGCCTGGAAGTTGGGATTTGGGATTTGGGGTGTGGGAATGTCCTTTCCGAAAGAGAAATCGTCATCGAGCAGAGCATTCTCAGAGCCTGAGATCTGGGATTTGGGATCTGGGATTTGGGGTGTGGGAATGTCCTTTCCGAAAGAGAAATCGTCATCGAGCAGAGCGTCCCCAGCGCCTGAGACACGGGAGCTGGGAGCTGGGATTGGGATTTGGGGTGTGTAGTGTTGGGGTATTGGAATGTCCTTTCTGAAAGAGCAGAAAATCGTCATTGGGCAGAGCGTTCTCAGAGCCTGGGACATGGGAGTTGGGATCTGGGATTTGGGGTGTGGGAGTGTCCTTCCCAAAACAGCAGAAAATCACCATCAGACAGAGCGTCCCCAGCGCCTGGGAGCTGGGATTTGGGATTTGGGATCTGGGATTTGGGGTGTGGGAATGTCCTTTCTGAAAGAGCGGAAAATCGTCATCGAGCAGAGTGTTCTCAGAGCCTGGGAGCTGGGATTTGGGATTTGGGGTGTGGGAATGTCCTTTCCGAAAGAGCGGAGAATCGTCATCAAGCAGAGCGTCCCCAGCGCCTGAGACACGGGAGCTGGGATTTGGGATTTGGGATCTGCGCCTTGGGGTGTGGCAGTGTCCTTCCCACAACAGCAGAAAATCACCATCAGACAGAGCGTCCCCAGCGCCTGAGAGCTGGGATTTGGCAGCGGAAAATCGTCATCGAGCAGAGCGTCCCCAGCGCCTGGGACATGGGATCTGGGAGCTGGGATTTGGGGTGTGGGAATGTCCTTCCCAAAACAGCGGAAAATCGTCATCGAGCAGAGCGTCCGCAGTGCCTGGGACATGGGATCTGGGAGCTGGGATTTGGGGTGTGGGAATGTCCTTCCCAAAACAGCGGAAAATCGTCATCGAGCAGAGCGTCCGCAGTGCCTGGGACATGGGATCTGGGAGCTGGGATTTGGGGTGTGGGAATGTCCTTCCCAAAACAGCGGAAAATCGTCATCGAGCAGAGCGTCCGCAGTGCCTGGGACATGGGATCTGGGAGCTGGGATTTGGGGTGTGGGAATGTCCTTCCCAAAACAGCGGAAAATCGTCATCGAGCAGAGCGTCCCCAGCGCCTGAGAGCTGGGATTTGGGATTTGGGGTCTTGGGGCATTGGGATATGGGAGCCACCGGACTCTGCATCCTCCCCAAAAGAGCAGAAGATCGTCATCAAGCAGAGCATCCCCAGTGCCTGACACCTGGGAGTTGGGAGCTGGGATTTGGGGTGTGGGAATGTCCTTCCCAAAACAGCAGAAAGTCACCATCAGACAGAGCGTTCTCAGGGGCTGGGATCTGGGATCTGGGATTTGGGATTTGGGGTGTGGGAATGTCCTTCCAAAAACAGCGGAAAATCGTCATCGAGCAGAGCGTCCCCAGCGCCTGGGACATGGGATCTGGGAGCTGGGATTTGGGGTGTTGGGGTACGGAGTGTTGGGGTATTGGAATGTCCTTCCCAAAAGAGCAGAAAATCGTCATCAAGCAGAGCGTCCCCAGCGCCTGGGACATGGGATCTGGGAGCTGGGATTTGGGGTGTGGGAATGCCCTTCCAAAAGAGCAGAAAATCATCATCGAGCAAAGCATCCCCAGTGCCCGAGATCCCGGATCTGGGATTTGGGATTTGGGGTGTGGGAATGTCCTTCCCAAAACAGCAGAAAGTCACCATCAGACAGAGCGTTCTCAGGGGCTGGGATCTGGGATCTGGGATTTGGGATTTGGGATCTGGGATTTGGGGTGTGGGAATGTCCTTTCCGAAAGAGCAGAGAATCATCATCAAGCAGAGCGTCCCCAGCGCCTGAGACACGGGAGCTGGGATTTGGGGTGTGGGAATGTCCTTCCCAAAACAGCAGAAAGTCACCATCAGACAGAGCGTTCTCAGAGGCTGGGAGCTGGGATTTGGGATTTGGGGTGTGGGAATGTCCTTCCAAAAGAGCAGAAAATCATCATCGAGCAGAGCGTCCCCAGCGCCCGAGATCCCGGATCTGGGATTTGGGATTTGGGGTGTCGGGTTCTTGGGATGGACAGAGGTGATGGTTTTGTTGAGGGGCTCCTCCCAAAGCATTGGCAGTGCCTGAAATCCCAGGATTTGGGGGTGCTGGGATGTTGGGATTTGGCATTTAGGGATATGGGATCACCCATGTGAGGGATGTTTTTTTGGGGTCACTGTTCACCAGGGGTGTGGAGGAGAGAATAAAGTTGAACTGGGGGTTGGTTTGTGTGGGGTTGTGGGAGCCCCTTTTTCCAGGAGATCCTACAATAAATAAAGAGGTTTGCAGAACCCTTTTCCAGAAATCCTACCCAAAAAATGGGGTGGGAGCCCTTTTCCCAAGAAATCCTACAATAAATAAGGTTCATGGAGCCATTGTTTTCCAGAAGACCCTACAATAATATGGGGTTCCTTTCTCCAGAACAGCCTCAAATAAAGTTTATGGGTTTCCCTTTTCCAGAAGATCCTACAAAACTCATTCCCTGCTCCCCCAAACCCTATTTGAGGGGGGTCCAAATCCCCTTCACCCCCCGAATTCGGGACTTGTGGGGCCAAACCCGCCCTGAGCTTTGTAGGGTTGGTGGGATTTGGGAAGGCTCCGTGCCCCCCTCACCTGTCCCCGTGTCCCCCTTTCCCCCGGTGGTTTTTGGGGTCGGGGCTTTGCAGGGTTTGTAGGATTAGGGAAGGATCCGCTCTCTTTTCCCCCGGCGGTTTTTGGGGTCGGGGCTTTGCAGGGTTTGTAGGATTAGGGAAGGATCCGCTCTCTTTTCCCCCGGCGGTTTTTGGGGTCGGGCTTTGTAGGGTTTGTAGGATTGGGGAAGGATCCGCTCTCTCTTTTCCCCCGGCGGTTTTTGGGGTCGGGGCTTTGCAGGGTTTGTAGGATTAGGGGAGGATCCGCTCTCTCTTTTCCCCCGGCGGTTTTTGGGGTCGGGGCTTTGCAGGGTTTGTAGGATTAGGAAGGATCCGCTCTCTCTTTTCCCCCGGCGGTTTTTGGGGTCGGGGCTTTGCAGGGTTTATAGGATTGGGGGAGGATCCGCTCTCTCTTTTCCCCCGGCGGTTTTTGGGGTCGGCGGGCCCCGCGGGGCCGGGCGGGGCCCCCCCGTTCCCGATAAGGGCCGGGGCACGGATCCGCCCCTCCGGGCCCGAATAAAGCGCTGATCTCATGCCCCGCGCGGCCCCAGAGCTGCGGCACCGGCCCCGGCTTTTGGGATCGCCTTTGGGATCGCCTTTGGGATCGGCCCCGCCGTTTGGGACCGGCTGTGGGATCCCCCCCGCCGAGCTTTAGGATCGGCCGCGGGATCAGCCCCGGCGCTCGGGATCGGCCCCAGGTACGGCCCCGCTGTCCCCGCGCTGTCCCCGCGCTGTCACCTCCCCCTCCCCCCTCCCGACACAGAAATTTGGGATTCTGGGGATCCCGGAGCCGCTTCCCAAAGGAATTCCCACGCCCCGGGGGGGGTGCGGCGGGCAGGTGTGTCCCCACCCCCGCTCTGGGGACACCGCGGAGCGCCGCTTGCGGGGTCGCGACATTTGGGGACGCGCGGTTTGTGCCTCCTGTCACCCCCGGCGGGGACGGAATTTGGGGGGGACGCTGGAATTGGGGGCGAGGCAGGAGCGAGATGTGACCCTGGAGGTGACAAAGGTTGGGGACAACTTCTGGGGTGTGCTCGGTGTCCCCAGGCGCTGTCCCCGCAGAGGGTGGCACGGCCAGGTCCCCCCTGTCCCCCTGTGTCCCCCTGTGTCCCCCGAGCTCGCCAGTGCTGGCACCAAGGGGTCCTCCCCGTGTCCCCCCGTGTCCCGCGCTGTCCCCATTGGTGCCACCCCGCTGTCGCCGCGCTGTCCCCAGGTCCCCGCGGCCATGACGCCGTACCGGCAGGAGCTGGAGAAGTACCGCGACATCGACGAGGACAAGATCCTGCAGGAGCTGTCCCCGGAGGAGCTGGCGCAGCTGGACGCCGAGCTGGCCGAGATGGACCCCGAGGTGGGCACGGGCGGGCGGCCGCGGGGACAGCAGGTGACACGGGCGCTGTCCCCAGAACGTGCTGCTGCCCGCGGGGACAGCAGGTGACACGGGCGCTGTCCCCAGAACGTGCTGCTGCCCGCGGGGCTGCGCCAGCGCGACCAGACCCACAAGAGCCCCACGGGACCCCTGGACCGGGACGCGCTCCTGCAGCACCTGGAGCGGCAGGCGCTGGAGGCCGAGGAGCGCCAGGACCTCGTGCCCTTCACCGGCGAGAAAAAAGGTCTGGGGACAGCGGGGACAGCGCGGGGACAGCGCGGGGACAGGCTGGCCAGGGGCTGGGGACAGCCCGGTGACACGGAGGGGACCGGGCCCCCGGGCTCGGGTATATTTAGCTCGGCCTCGCCAGCGGCTCGGGTGTCCTGGGCGAGCTGGGCCCCCGCCAGCCCCGGGCACGGCCACCAGCCCTGGCAGTGTCACCCCCGGGGACAGCAGTGCCAGCCCCGGGATGGTCACAACCCAGCGACAGCAGTGCCAGCCTCAGCGAGGCCACCCCGATGATGCCACCTGAAGCCGTTTGTCCCGTGTCCCCTGTCCCCAGGGAAGCCGTCTGTCCCCGTGCCCGGTGTCCCCATGTCCCCGTGCCGCCTGTGACCCTGTCCCTGTCCCCAGGGAAGCCGTTTGTCCCCAAGGCGGCGGCGCCGGCGCTGCCGCGGGAGGAGCAGGTGACGCTGGAGCCGGAGCTGGAGGAGGCGCTGGCCAACGCCACCGAGGCCGAGATGTGCGACATCGCCGGTGGGGGGGGACAGCGGGGACAGCGGGGCCGGGATGGGATCGGGAACGGGATGGGATGGGGATGGAATGGGAATAGGAATGGGATGGGATTGGGATGGGGATTGTGATGGGAATGGGGCCGAGATGGGCGACATCGCCGGTGGGTGGGGACAGCGGGGTCGGGATGGGATCGGGATGGGATCAGGAATGGGATGGGAATGGGGACATGGATGGGGTTGGAATGGGGTGGGATTTGTAAAGGATGGGGTTGGGGTGGGGTTTCCGTGGGATTGGGATCTGATGGGCTGGGGTGGGATCTCCATGGGGTTCCCATGGGGTTCCCATGGGGTTCCCATGGTGTTTCCATGGGGTCTCCAGGGGGTTCCCATGGGATTGGGATCTGATGAGGGTGGGATGGGATCTCCATGGGGTTCCCATGGGGTTCCCATGGGGTTCCCATGGGGTTCCCATGGGGTTCCCATGGGGTTCCCATGGGGTTCCCATGGGGTTCCCATGGGGTTCCCATGGGGTTCCCATGGGGTTCCCATGGGGTTCCCATGGGGTTCCCATGGGGTTCCCATGGGGTTCCCATGGGGTTCCCATGGGGTTCCCATGGGGTTCCCATGGGGTTCCCATGGGGTTCCCATGGTGTTTCCATGGGGTCTCCAGGGGGTTCCCATGGGATTGGGATCTGATGAGGGTGGGACAGCCCGGTGACACGGAGGGGACCGGGCCCCCGGGCTCGGGTATATTTAGCTCGGCCTCGCCAGCGGCTCGGGTGTCCTGGGCGAGCTGGGCCCCCGCCAGCCCCGGGCACGGCCACCAGCCCTGGCAGTGTCACCCCCGGGGACAGCAGTGCCAGCCCCGGGATGGTCACAACCCAGCGACAGCAGTGCCAGCCTCAGCGAGGCCACCCCGATGATGCCACCTGAAGCCGTTTGTCCCGTGTCCCCTGTCCCCAGGGAAGCCGTCTGTCCCCGTGCCCGGTGTCCCCATGTCCCCGTGCCGCCTGTGACCCTGTCCCTGTCCCCAGGGAAGCCGTTTGTCCCCAAGGCGGCGGCGCCGGCGCTGCCGCGGGAGGAGCAGGTGACGCTGGAGCCGGAGCTGGAGGAGGCGCTGGCCAACGCCACCGAGGCCGAGATGTGCGACATCGCCGGGGGGGGGGGACAGCGGGGACAGGGGGGCCGGGTTGGGATCGGGAACGGGATGGGATGGGGATGGAATGGGAATAGGAATGGGATGGGATTGGGATGGGGATTGTGATGGGAATGGGGCCGAGATGGGCGACATCGCCGGTGGGTGGGGACAGCGGGGTCGGGATGGGATCGGGATGGGATCAGGAATGGGATGGGAATGGGGACATGGATGGGGTTGGAATGGGGTGGGATTTGTAAAGGATGGGGTTGGGGTGGGGTTTCCGTGGGATTGGGATCTGATGGGCTGGGGTGGGATCTCCATGGGGTTCCCATGGGGTTCCCATGGGGTTCCCATGGTGTTTCCATGGGGTCTCCAGGGGGTTCCCATGGGATTGGGATCTGATGAGGGTGGGATGGGATCTCCATGGGGTTCCCATGGGGTTCCCACGGGATGGGAACGAGGCCGGGCTCTGCACAGGCCGGGATCCCCGCGGGGCCGGGAGCGGCACCAGGAAGGGCCTTGGCCGAGGGTAACGCTGTCCCCAAGGGTGTCACACGGTGTCACTGTCACCTGGGGAGGGACACCGAGCACCAGGCCAGCACGGCACACCCGTCCTTGCGTCGCTGTCACACACCTGAGTGTCACACGGTGTCTCTGTGTCACTGTCACACACCCCAGTGTCACACACATTGTCCCACAGTGTCACACTAACTGTACCATATTGTCACACTCACTGTCCCACATTGTCACACTCGGTCCCCCCTCACCCTCTGTGTCCCCTCCATCAAAGCAGCTCCGACCCCACCTTCAGCTCCCAGTGCCACCTCCCCGGGGGGACAGCAGGGTCCTGCGTGCCCTGCGTCCCCCGTGCCCCCGACGTCCCCAGTGCCACCCCGCTGTCCCCGCAGCCATCCTGGGCATGTACACGCTGATGAGCAACAAGCAGTACTACGATGCCATCTGCAGCGGGAACATCTGCAACACCGAGGGCATCAACAGTGAGTGACAGCGGGACGGGGACGGAGCCTGGGAATCCACAGTGAGCGACAAAGGGACACAGGGACAGGGGGACAAGAGCTGCCACGGGGTGGTTGGGGCAGCATCTGGGGACAAACTCGTGTGTCCCCACGCTGTCCCCACGCTGTCGCAGGCGTGGTGCAGCCGGACCGGTACCGGCCGGTGCCGGACGAGCCCCCGAACCCCACGGACGTGGCCGAGACGCTGCGGCGGCTGCAGGACAACGACCCCGCGCTGCACGACGTCAACCTCAACAACATCAAGGTGACACCGCGCCCGGGGGGCTGTGCCACCCTCGGCTCGGCTGAAGCTGGCACCCAAGGGGTGGCCCCTGTCCCCAGCATGTCCCCACGGTGCCAGGTCCCACCCCGGCCCCTGGGTGACCCCGTGTCCCCGACTGTCCCCAGGACATCCCTGTCCCTGAGCCCCCTGGGGACATCCCCGGCCCCTGGGTGACTCCGTGTCCCCAGGACATCCCTGAGCCCCCTGGGGACATCCCCGGCCCCTGGGTGACCCCAGTGACTGTCCCCAGGACATCCCTGTCCCCCCTGGGGACATCCCTGGCTCCTGGGTGACCCCGTGTCCCCGACTGTCCCCAGGACATCCCTGTCCCCACGCTGGAGGCCATCTGCGAGGCCATCAAGACCAACACCCACGTGCGCAGCCTCAGCCTGGTGGCCACGCGCAGCAACGACCTGGTGGCCAACGTGAGTCCCCCAGTGTCCCCAAAGGTCCCCAAATGTCCCCATGAGTCCACCTCCCCCACCTGTCCACCCATCCCTGGGACACCAAAGGCGGTGTCCCCACAGTGCCACTGAGGTGCCACTTTGATGCCACTTTGGTGCCACTTTGATGCCACTTTGGTGCCACTGTGGTGCCACTTTGGTGTCACTCTGGTGCCACTGCGGTGTCCCCAGGCGGTGGCCGAGATGCTGGAGCAGAACCAGAGCCTGCAGAGCCTCAACCTCGAGTCCAACTTCATCACCAGCGCGGGAATGCTGCGGCTGCTGGCGGCCATCGGCCACTGCCCCACGCTGAGCGAGATCCGCGTGGACAACCAGGTGACAGCGGGGACAGTGGGGACAGCAGGGACAGGGATACCAGGGGAGGTGACAGTGACCTGACTGTCTCCAGTCCCGCAGTGCCAGCGCCTGGGGGCACGGTGGAGATGGGGGTGTGGCAGTGACACTGACGGTGTCCCACCTGTCCCCGCAGTGCCAGCGCCTAGGGGACACGTGGAGATGAGGGTGTGACAGTGACACTGACGGTGTCCCTGCTGTCCCTGCAGTGCCAGCGCCTGGGGGGGTGTGGCAGTGACACTGACAATGTCCCCGCAGTGCCAGCGCCTGGGGGGTGTGACAGTGACACCGACGGTGTCCCCGCTGTCCCCGCAGTGCCAGCGCCTGGGGGACACGGTGGAGATGAGGATGTGACAGTGACACTGACGGTGTCCCCGCAGTGCCAGCGCCTGGGGGGTGTGGCAGTGACACTGATGCTGTCCCCGCTGTCCCCGCAGTGCCAGCGCCTGGGGGGTGCGGCAGTGACACTGACGGTGTCCCCGCTGTCCCCGCAGCGCCTGGGGGGTGTGGCAGTGACACTGACGCTGTCCCCGCAGTGCCAGCGCCTGGGGGGTGTGGCAGTGACACTGATGCTGTCCCCGCTGTCCCCGCAGTGCCAGCGCCTGGGGGGGGGTGGCAGTGACACTGACGGTGTCCCCGCTGTCCCCGCAGTGCCAGCGCCTGGGGGACACGGTGGAGATGGCCATGGCAGCCACGCTGGAGCAGTGCCCGTCCCTGCTGCGCTTTGGTTACACCTTCACCCTGCAGGGCCCGCGGGCGCGCGCCGCCGCCGCCCTCACCCGCAACAACGAGCTCCGTGAGTGTCCCCAGGGTCCCCAGGGTCCCCAGGGCCAGCCCGGCGTCACCGCCAGGGGCTCCAGGTGGCAGGGCTCACCCAGAGCTGTCCCCAGCTCACAATGAACCCCTGAGTGTCCCCAGGGGTCACCAAGGGTGGATTTGGGGTGTCCCAGAGGTGAAGCCACCTTAAAAGGAGCTCTGGGAGTGTCCCCAAGGGTCCCCAGGTGCCACCTGGGGGTCCCAGAGCTTGGAGCGAGCTCCTGAATGTCCCCAGGTGTCACCAGGGGCGGGACTTTGGGGTCCCACCTCTGACCCCCACTTTTCTCTGCCCCCAGGTCGCCAACAGAAGAAATCCTAAAAATTTCCTCTGTGCCCGCACCGAGCTCAGGAATAAAGGGAATAAAGTGGAAAAATGGTCCCAAAAAATTCCCACTTTATTCCCGGGGCCCTGAGGACTCTCGGGGACTCTCGGGGACTCTTGGGGACACTTGGGGACAGGGACAGGTGTCAGGCTGGTGGCAGTGGTGGCGGCTCCTCCTCGTCGGAGTCGAACTCGGCGTTGCCGTCCTTCACCCAATTCCCAGCGGGATCCTGGAGCCAGCCCCGGCTGGGACACAGGGAAAGGGATTCGCTGGCACCTCGGGGGGTTTCTGGGGTATTTGGGGGATTTTTTGAGGGGTTTCTTTGGGTTTTGGGGGCTTTTGGGTTTTTTTTGGATTCTAGGGGATATTTTTGGGATACTTTGGGGGATTTTTTGGGGGATACTTTTGGGGTTTTTTCCCAGAATTCCCAGATCCCCACCCACCTGCGCAGGTGCAGGTGGTGCCGCAGGATCCGCAGCCGCTCCGGGCTCGGCCCCTCGGAGCTTCGGGAATTTCCTTCCGGCCCCTCGGAACTTCGGGAATTTCCTTTCCTTCCCCGTTTCCTGTCCTTGGGAACGCCTGGGGGAGCGAGGACGGGGCTGCTGGGAATTCCGGGAATGGGCAATTCCCGGGAAAACCCCCTGGCAGGGGCGGGGTCTCACCCTCTGTGTGTGTGGGCCCGGCGGTTTCGGGATTCCCGGGAATTCCGGGGTTCCGGGACGGCTCCGGCAGCATCTGGGAATTTTTTGGGATCATCCCGGGGATCCCGGCCCGGGAGCTGCTGCCCTTCGTCCTGGGAGGGGGAAGGGAGAGGGTGTGAATCCCAAAACATTCCCTTTCCTGGGAATCCCAGAACTTTCCCTGGTGTCCCTGAGCTCCTTTCCCATCTTCTCCCTTTTTGTCCCTCTTTCCTTCCCATCTTTCCCCATCTTTTGCCCGTTTCCCCCATTTTCCTGTTTCCCCTGTTTCCCCCCATTTTCCCTCTTTCCCCAGTTTTCCCCAGTTTTCCTCCATTTCTTCCCATTTTCCTGTTCCCCCATTCCCCCTGTTTTCCCCCCATTTCCCCCTTTTCTCTCCCCATTTCCCCCCTAATATCCCCCCATTTTCCCTGCATATTTCCCCATTTTCCCCCGTTTTTCCCCATTTCCCCCCATTTCCCCCGTTTTCCCCATTTCCCCATTTTCCGTTTCCCTCACGTGGCTCTGCGGCAGCAGCTGCTGTACGGGGCCGCTCTCAGCAGCGCGCTCCGGGCCAGCCGGCGCGTCCGGGCCAGCAGCGGCGCCTGCGCGACACGCCCCTGAGGCCACGCCCACCGAGGCCACGCCCCCACACAGCACATCCAGCCAGGCCATGCCCAGAGGCCACGCCCCCATGGGAACCACACACCCACATAGGCCACACCCACCCAGGACAACACCCACATAGGCCACACCCACTTGGGAGACACCATGGGGCCCCACCCACTTGGAGACCACACCCACATAGAACACACCCATACAAGCCACACCCACAGAGACCACACCCACATGAACCACACCCAAAGACCACACCCATAGAGACCATGCCCTCCCATGGACACACCCATGGAGACCACACCCACATCGAACCACACCCACAGAGACCCCGCCCGTTTGGTGTCACACCCACGGAGACCCCGCCCATTTGGTGTCACACCCACAGAGACCCCGCCCATTTGGTGTCACACACATTGAGACCACGCCCATTTGGTGTCACACCCTGGGGCCACGCCCACCTGCACAGCTGGCGCCACGCCCAGGGTCACCTGGGGTCCCTGCGGGGCCACCTGGGGACAGCGGCGCCGCCCGAAGGAACGCTGCAGGGCTGCAACACGGGGACAGGGACACGTGAGGGACAGGACAGGGACAGGACAGGGCCAGGACACGTGAGGGACGGGACAGGGACAGGGACACGTGGGGGACAGGACAGGGACAGGGACAGAACAGGGACACGTGGGGGACAGGACAGGGACAGGCCAGGGCCAGGACACGTGAGGGACGGGGCAGGGACAGGGACAGGGACCCGTGGGGGACAGGACAGGGACAGGCCAGGGCCAGGACACGTGAGGGACGGGACAGGGACAGGACAGGGCCAGGACACGTGAGGGACGGGACAGGGGACAGGGGACATGGTGAGGGGGACAAGGAAATGGGAACAGGAGGCATGTGACAGGGTGAGGGGACAGGGACGGGGTGAGGGGACAGTACAGGTAAAGCAGGGACAGCCCAGGTGACACGGCAGGTGACCTCCCAGGGGACAGGGACAGCCTGGGTGACATGGCAGGTGACATCCCAAGGGACACGGGGACAGCCCAGGTGACATCCCAGGGGACAGGGACAGCCAAGGTGACACGGCAGGTGACATCCCATGGGACAGGGACAGCCTGGGTGACACGGCAGGGGACACGGAGACAGCCAAGGTGACACGGCAGGTGACATCCCAGGGCACAGGGACAGCCTGGGTGACATGGCAGGGGACAGGGACAGCCCAGGTGACATGGCAGGGGACAGGGACAGCCGGGGTGACCTCCCAGGGGACGGGGACAGCCCAGGTGACATCCCAGGGGACAGGGACAGCCTGGGTGACATGGCAGGGGACACGGAGACAGCCAAGGTGACACGGCAGGGGACATCCCAGGGGACAGGGACAGCCTGGGTGACATGGCAGGGGACACGGAGACAGCCAAGGTGACACGGCAGGGGACATCCCAGGGGACAGGGACAGCCTGGGTGACATGGCAGGGGACACGGAGACAGCCAAGGTGACACGGCAGGGGACATCCCAGGGGACAGGGACAGCCCAGGGGACACGGCAGGTGACATCCCAGGGGACGGGGACAGCCCAGGTGACACAGCAGGTGACATCCCAGGGGACAGCCGGGGTGACACGGCAGGTGACATCCCAGGGGACAGGGACACCCCTCTCACCGTCCAGGTGCTTCCTGCCCGCCCTGTGCAGCAGCAGCGTCTGCAGGGTGTCACACACGGGCCGCTGGGGACACAGCGAGCACGCCAGCCTGGGGACGGCACAGGGGACACTGGGGGACACCGGGGGACAGCGGGGCACGGCTGGGGACAGCGGGGACAGCGGGGCAGCCTCACCTGCCATCGCGCAGCAGCAGCGCCTCGTCCTCGGGGATGGCGCTGGCCAGCAGCTCGGCCACGCGGCGCCTCTGGGACAGCGGGCCACCCACGTCACCTCCTGTCCCCACGCTGTCCCCACACTGTCCCCACACTGTCCCCAAACTGGGCTCACGCTGTCCCCAAACCGGGCCCACACTGTCCCCACACTGTCCCCACGCTGTCCCCACACTGTCCCCACACTGTCCCCACACCGGCCCCCGTGGCAGAGCCGCCCTGGGGACAGCCCTGGGAAGGGCTGAGGGGACAAAGTGGGGCCGGGGCAGGACCCGGGGGACCTGGAGGGGACTGAGGGGACACAAAGGGACCCAGGGAAGAGTTGGGGGTCCCGGGAGGTTCAGGAAAGGGTTGGGGACACCCCGGAGAGGGTGAGGGGACACAAAGGGACCGGGGGAAGGGTTGGGGGGACCTCGAGGGGACCCGGGGAAGGCCTCAGGGGACCCGCGGGGCTCAGGCCGCGGCCCGGGGGTGGCGGGGGAGGCCGGGGCTGGGCTTGGCGCTGCCGGGGGTGCCCGGGGGGTGCCCGGGGAGGGGTCCCGGGGGGTCGCGGGGGTGCCGGCCCCACCTGCAGCGCCCCGAGCGGCCCCGGGTCGCTCTCGTCGCGCTTAAAGGACATGGCGGCGCCCGCTAGGCCGCGGTCTCCATGGCAACCGCCACCGCCGCTTCCGGGTAGCGCTTCTCAGCTCGGGGGGGAACGACCAATCAGCGAGCGCTCAGCGCGACCCCCGCGGTATGATGGGAGTTGTAGTTCAAGCGCCGGAAGCTTCCGTGGGAATGGCGGCGGAGACGGCCAGGGCGGAACTACAACTCCCAGAAGGAGCGGCGAGGCCGCGCCGGTTCGGCGGGGCCCGGGGCCGAGCGCTCCCCGTGAGCGGCGGGGCCGGGCCGGGACCCCCGGGCGGGACCCCCGGGCCGGGACCCCCGGGCGGGCCATGGCGGGGAGCGGCGGGGCCGGGGGGGCCCCGCCGGGGGAC